CATCATGAATTCACATTTAAAGCACCCTGATCAAAGATCATATCTACAGGTTTAGCTTTCTCTTTATTTGAATTTGAGTGTTTGTTTAGTTTCTCTTGTTTGCTTGTTCTTAATTACTGCTTGTTCTTGTTTGCTTTATGTTTTTAGATCACTTAATCACCAACCTGTTTCATTAAACTTGGATTAAGAATTGATCCTCATAGCCTTAGTGTCTAGATAATCTCCATTTGGATTGACCCTCAAGTGCTACAACACAAGAGGTTAATTGACCTTAGTAGGCTAAAAACCTACTATCAATTCCACTCCTATGTTTGTTTCGCTCTCCCAATCTAGATCTAACACCGGATGAACACTTTCGTGTCACCAAACATCTGGATCAGATTGTAGTTCATGACGCTATTCTCATGCAGTAAAAACGAATTCAGAAGAAAAAGTTCTAAGATTCGGCTTCAATAGCTCATGGAATCCTCATCGAACATATGTATCCCCATCGAAAATATCCCTTAGACCCAACAATAAAAATACTCAGACATGATGAATGAAATCAAAAATATAGTATTAAAAAGTATAACAGAAACCGAAATTGAAAAAAAAAGAACAAGGGTTCAAGAGACAAATCTCTCTCTCCCTAAACCTAAAAACAAAGCTTAAAGTAAAATTTATTGTAAAGTATTTCGTCTCTCTTCTTCTTTTTTTTTTAAAACGACCTAAATGATAAGTATTTATAGTCTCAAATGCTCTCTGGTCTTTAGGGTTCCAGAATTGAGGCTGGGAAAATGATATGGGCTTCAGAAATGGGCCTTCGAACTCGGAGTTGCCTGGCCGCTGTCGGGATGTGCGTGACCGCGGGGAATGGATGGCTGGCCGCGGTCGGGAAGCTTGTGACCGCGGGAAATAGGCTGTTGGCCGCAGGTGGAAACGCTTGTCGGCAGGTTTACGGGACATCTTGCTCTTCGCGTATCTTTTGATTGAACCGTTGGATTGCCAAGTTGTAAAGTGTGCTGGAAAGCTGATACTTCCATCTTTGAGATCTCAAAATTTGAGCTGGATCAGACGGTGAGAAGGCCTTCAATCGAGGGTGAACTTCTGACGGTTTGACTCTGAGCTGAAAATCTGGTCTTCTATCCATTTTGTTTAGATTTTCCCTAAGTTTCCTGAAAAGAGTCTTGGAACTACAAATACTAGAAAAACGTGATAAACGTACTTGAAAGCAATTAAAAACATAGAAAAAGTATTTCAAAATGATCCATAAATGTGGTCAAAATACGGTGTTATCAACTAGCCAAATAAGGCTTAAGGCTTTGTCCATTTGCCACAAAGTTGTTGCCATTCTTTCCCTCAGGTACCACAGCTCCATAGCTCCTTACTTCCAAAATCTTGAAAGGACCAGACCACCTTGACCTTAACTTGCCTGGAAACAGCTTGAGCCTTGAGTTAAGCAGTAACACAAGGTCTCCTTCCTTGAATTCTCTCTTCCTGATCTTCTGGTCATGCAAAGTTTATGTTTTCTCCTTGTAGATCTTTGAGCTCTCATAAGCATTCAGCCTGATCTCCTCTAGCTCATGAAGCTGTAGAAGTATCTTCTCTTGAGCTGTTTAGATGTCAAAGTTGAGTAACTTGACAGCCCACATAGCCTTGTACTCCAGCTCTACAAGTAGATGGCAGCTTTTCCCATACAAAAGATTGAAAGGTGAGGTTCCAATGAGGGTTTTAAAAGCAATCCTATAAGCCCATTGTGCATCATCTAATTTCTTAGACCTGTCTTTTCTAGATGACTCACTGTCCTTTCAAGGATTTCCTTTATCTGTTTGTTGGAGTTCTCCACTTGTCCACTGATTTGGGGATGATATGGACTTGCTATCTTGTGCTTAAACCCATGGTTCCTTAGCAAACCTTCCAAAGTCTTATTCACAAAATGAGTCCCACCATCACTGATAACAACTCTTGGGACACCAAACCTTGGGAAGATTATGCTCTTGAACTGTTTACAAACCACTTTGGAGTCATTGGTAGGGCTTGCAATGGCTTCAACCTACTTGGACACATCGTCCACAGCAACTAATATGTATTGATTTCCATGAGAAGAGACAAATGGTCCCATGAAATCAATCTCCCAACAATCAAACACCTCTACCTCAAGGATAGGATTCTGTGGCATTTTATTCTTTTTCGAGATGTTTCCTTGTCTCTGACAGCATCACAGCTAGACACCACACCTTGAGCATCTTTGAACATAGTAGGCCACCAAAAACCTGGCTGATGAGCTTTAGCAACTGTCTTGAATGCAGCATGATGGCCTCCATAGGCTGGTCCATGACACTCTTGGAGAACCCCTTGAACCTCCTCTTCCACTAAGCACCTCCTATACAAGTGATCTTTGTTGAGCACATAGAGGTAAGGCTCATCCCAAAAGGACCTTTTTCACATCTTTTAAGAACTTCTTTCTTTCAAAATCATACAATTCAGGTGGCTCCACACCACAAGACAGGTAGTTCACTATATCTGCAAACCAAGGTAAGCTTCTTTCCCTGATGGACTTAGCCTCCTCAAGCTCCATGTAAGCTCGTATTGCCATGATCTTTTCTTCTGGCAATGAATCATCCAAGGGGACCTCACAGTCCACACTCATCCTTGACAAGTGATCAGCCACTTCATTCTCTATGCTTTTTGTCTTTGACCTCCATGTCAAATTCTTGTAGCAGCAAAACCCACCTTAGAAGCCTTGGTTTAGCATCTTTCTTCGTCATCAGATACCTCAAAGCAGCATGGTCAGTGTAGACTACACCCTTAGAACCCACCAAGTAGCTTCTAAACTTATCAAAGGCAAAGACAATGGCAAGCAATTCCTTCTCTATAGTGGCATATTTCTCTTGAGCTTGGTCCAGAGTTCTACTAGCATAGTAGATAACATGGAGCTTCTTGTCCTTCTTCTGCCCTAGCACAGCACCAACACCATAATCAGAGGCATTAGTTATTACCTGAAAAGGTAAAATCCAATCTGGTTCTTGTACAATGGGAGCACTGATGAGAGCTTGCTTGATCCTTTGAAAAGCCTCCTCACACTCAGCATCAAACTGAACCTCCACATCCTTACACAGCAATCTTGTCAATGGCCTTGCCATCTTAGAGAAATCCTTGATGAATCTCCTATAGAATTCTGCATGACCCAAGAAGCTTCTGATCCCTTTCACTGAGTTTACAGCCTCTAAGTTGACCATCACCTCAACCTTTGCCTTGTCCACCTCAATGCCTGCCTCTGATACCTTGTGTCCAAGCAGTATCCCTTCTTGTACCATGAAGTGGCACTTTTCCCAATTCAGAACAAGGCTTGCTTCCTCACATCTCCTCAAGACCTGAGAAAAGATTGGACAAACATGAAGAGAAGGAGGATCCATAGACTAAGAAATCATCCATGAATACCTCAACCTTATGTTCTATTAGATCAGAGAAAATATGCATCATGCACCTTTGAAAGGTTGCTGGTGCATTGCACAAGCCAAAGGGCATTCTCCTATATGCATATGTACCATATGGACAGGTAAATGTTGTTTTCTCTTGGTCTCTGGGGTCTATGGGAATCAGAAAGAACCCAGAGTATCCATCAAGAAAACAATAATTGGGATGATTAGCTAACCTCTCTAACATCTGATCAATAAATAGTAAAGGAAAGTGATCTTTTCTTTATGCTGCATTTAGTTTTCTATAGTCTATGCACATGCGATGACCTATAACAGTTCTAATTGTTATGAGTTCATCCCTATCATTTTTTACCACGGTAATACCACCCTTTTTGGGCATCACATGGATCGGAGACACCCATCTTGAGTCAGAGATTGGGTAAATAATCCCTACCTCAAGCAACTTGAGTATCTACTTCTTAACCACCGCTTTAAGGTTGAGGTTAAGTCTCCTCTGGTGCTCAATAGAGGACATAGATTGGTCCTCTAGGTGTATTCTGTGGGTGCATACACTAGGAGAGATTCCTCTTATATCAACAAGGGAATAACCAATTGCTCTCCTAAACTTCCTTAGTTCATTCAACAATGCACTCTCTTCATGAGCTAGCAAACTATCATTTATTATGACAGGGTAAGATGAGTTAGAGCCAAGAAATGCATACCTGATCCCTGTTGTGTAGAGGTTTGAGCTCAACAGGGGATGCTGTGGTCTCATCCCAATCTGCCATGAAGCTCTCCTGATCAGCTGGAGCTCCATTGGTGTTGATCTCATCAGCCGGCTTGATCTCCTGCTCAGCCTCCAAACCCACGGCCATACACTGATGAACTGGCCCATGACTTGTGCTTGAACCACTGATACCCTGAATCTCAAGGCCTCCAGACCCACGGCCATACACTGATGAATTTCCCCATGACTTGTGCTTGAACCACTGATACCCTGAATCTCAAGGCCGCTTGCTTCCAGCTCCAAGAACCCTGATTCTGAATCCACTTCCTTGTATTGATCCATAACCAACTTGTAAGCTTCACTTTCTTCAGCCAAGTACCCATGTTCACCATGTTCTTTAGTCAATGCAACTTGAAGAGGATCTTCAGTGTTCAACTCTTCAAGAAGCTCATCAGCAAACTCTTCCAATGTTTCAATATAAAAGATATGTCCTTCTATAGTTGGCTTCTTCATCATTTCCTTTACATCAAACTTAAGAGTTTCTGATCCAAGGTGCAGCTCAATCATTCCACCTCTCACATCAATGGTTGCTCCTTCTGTTGCAAGGAAAGGTTTACCCAAGATAAGTGGATCAACTGGTTCCTCATCCATTTCTAAGACAATGAAGTCAGTGGGGACTTGAAAGCCTCCTACCTTAACATGTAGATCTTCAAGTAAACCTATGGGAAGCCTCACAGATCTATCAGCTAGTATCAATTATATCCTTGCTGGCTTGTAGGTATTGAATCTCAGCTTCTTTGCAATAGAGTAAGGCATCAAACTCACTGAAGCTCCTAAGTCACATAACCAGCTTGCAAACTTCAAAGGACCAATAGTCATGGCAGTGTAAAGGTCCCTGGGTCAGATAGCTTCCTAGGGACTGTCCTCTTTTTAATTATTGCGCTACACTCATGACTTAGAATCACCATTCCTTGTAGTTCCTTTGTCTTGTTCAAAATGGCATCCTTTAATAACTTCCCAAGCTGTGGAACCATGAGGAATGCTTCTATGATGGGCGTAGTGAATTGAGTCTTCTCAAGTTGCTTCTCAAAGATAGCTCTGGCCTTGTCTAAGATCGGCTTCTTAAACCTCCCTGGAAATAGAAGTATAGGCTGGTATGTTGGTGGTGGAACATAGGGTTTCTCAGGCACCACATCTTGTTCCACCTCTTTGCTCTTATCATTCTCAGCAACTTGATTTTCTTGCTCAATCCTTTGAGCTGCCTCCCCACCAACTTGCTCATTGTCCTCAATGAGCACTTGTCTAGGTTCTCTCTCTGGTAACTCCTTTCCACTTCTAAGAGTTCTGGCATTACAATACTCTTTTGGGTTGGGCTCAGGTTTACCAGGTAAAGTTCCTTGTTGTCTTGAGGAAGAGGCTTGATTCTTCTCTAATGCAATGATCTTTTGTTGCATTGTCTCATACTTAGAACCCAAATCATAGAAACTGCTTTCAACCCTTTGTTGACCTTGTAGAAGCTGCTGTAACACTCCACATAAATCAGACCCCATCTGATGTTCCTGAACCGGTTGTGGCTGACTCAGCTGCTGTTGTCCAAATGTTGGTGGATACTTGTGTTGCTGCGGCTGGCTGTTGAAGTTATTTTCATGAATCTGCGGCTGCTGCTGACCATACCCTTGTGGCTGCTGTACAAAATGCTGCTTGGGCTGATAGTTCCCTTGAAATTGGTTTTTGTGAACAAATTTCTGTTGACCTTGTTGAGGAGGGTAGACTTGGTCTTGAGGGTTTGCTACATTGGTGCTTCTATAGGACAGGTTCTGGTTGGTGTTGAAGTTATTGTACCTTTGAAACCTGTTCTGCTTCCCTATGTAGTTCAGCTCCTCTTGGGTAAGACCTTCTTCATTGACATTGTCAAAGCTTGGAGACTGATCATCAAATTCACCCACAAAGTGTAGTGGCTTTTGAGTTGCCACTAACACTTTATCATGTTTACTCTGCAGCTCTCTAATGTCTTTCTCCATTCTTTGCTCTTTACTTGAGCCCTCAGTTCTGTTTGCCTATCAAAATCCTCCCAAGAAGTATCATTACTCATGGCTAAGTTTTCTACTAGCTCCAAGCAGCATTTATCTCTTTACCCAAAAAGTTCCCATTTGAGGCTGTGTCTAACTGATTTCTGATCTTTGGAAGGGCTCTTCTATACAGGGTACTAGAGGGTGAAGCCTCAGAAAATCCATGATGGGAACATTGGTTTGTGTAGCTTCTAAACCTCTCCCAGCTTCCCCAATGCTTTCATTGTTGTGCTGGGTAAAGCTTAATATCTGGTTCCTCAACTTGGTTGTCCTTGAGGTGGAGAAAAACTTAGATAAGAAGGCTAGTTTACACTGCTCCCAAGTCTGAATTGATCCTCTTTTTAAGTTCTTCTCCCACTGATGAGCTTTATCTCCCAAGCTGAAGGGAAAAAACCTTAGCTTGAAGTTTTCTTCTGAAACTCCATTGATCTTAGTCAGATCACACACCCTGTCAAACTTATCCAAATGCTGTAGTGGATCCTCCGTAGATAGTCCATGGAACTTTGAGTTCTGAACCATGTTAAGCAACGATGCCTTCACCTCAAAGTTGTTTTTTTGGACTGGAGGAGCTTGAATGCCTGCCCTGTATTGGTGTGCATTGGCCCGGTCATTCTCTCCCACAAACACTGGTGGAGGCTCTTAACGCCTTGGAGGTTGTGGCTGCTTCTGTGTTAGTTGGATCAAGTTGTGATTAACTCCAGCCTTTCTTAAGTGAAAACCATAATTTGACAATCCAATTATCATGTTTGTGCATGTCATTGTGAATTCATGGGTACCATAAAATATTTGAGCTCTCTTATCCCTTTTTACCACTCTTGCTAGCTCAAATAGTTGTTCTCTCATCTTCAGACAGTTCCCTGCCTTTAACCAAATCATCTTCAGACAGTTCCCTGCCATTCCCTGCATATGTGTGAGACCTTGTTTCTAGTAGACTTGGTAAAAAGTGTTGGGTTTAGAGTGACAGAGATAGGACTGCATGTAGATACTACTCCACCATCAAGGGCTAGTCTAGGTTTAGACGTGTGTATGGGAGTTTGTTTGAGTGTGTGTGATAACTAAGAGTTTTCAAGGCTCTTTGTAGAGGTTATCAATCCCCTGTCTTGTAGTACAAGGGGTTTATCAATCCATATGTGGCGTTAGACACTAAACTATGTGATCAGGTTCTTAATTCAAGCAAATAAGTGTGGTTTTGATAAACTAATGACAACTACAAACTTAAAAACAAGATAAATGACTAAAGAAGTGATCAAACAAAGAACTAAACAAATGACAAGTGATGAGAATGTATGTATGATGATGAGAAAGGTCTTAGACATGATAGTGGATTAGGGTGCCTTCAGTGATAAACTAGTGAGCTAATGAACCATATGATCAAGCAAACCATTCAACTTAAACATCATTGATTAAGCTAATCCTCTCATGAAGGTATCAACTTCTATGCTAAAACAGCTTCTAACCTAATCATCATTAGTGAAACATGAATCAGCAAGCATTAATAACCAGTTTAATCTGTCATTTAAGCATATAAACAATCATTCCCATGATGAAGAACACTTAAACCTCTAACAACCTTGGTTCAGGCATTTCATCAAACACTTTTGGTGCATGAAATACCCAGAATCTAGACCACATATGATGTGTATGGATCTAGCATTAAGAACAGGTTGTAGAGAATGGAATATGCATGATCTAACCCTTAAGCTCACTAATCTACCACTTAAGCACCCTAATCTACATATCTAAGACCTTAATATGGAGGTTACTCACTAATCATGATCAACACACTAGATCCTTTGCAAGATGTGTTGTTAATCATATGATTAGAAGTGTATAGATGAAGAGATAGATGATAGATTTAGAAGAAAGCAGCTTTAAACACAAAGATCTCTTAAACTCTCTTGATGAAACACTCAATAATCGATATTTCTCTTCTTAGTGAAGTCTTTTCACAGAAGAGGCAAGAGACAAAAGGGAATAAAGCTTAGTTTTTGGGAAAAAACCCTAAAAACTATTTATATGTCTCTAAAAACGAACCGGGTCAGCCCGGAACAAACCAGGTCAGCCCAGAACAAACCGGGTCCTGACCCGGCTTTAGTGGATAAAGTGGAAAGTGTGCGAGTTAGTCCAGTGTCTCCCAGGTCGCATGACCAAGTCGCACAGGTGAAGAACTTGTCTTGTGAGACTTAAATCGCTTAGTTTTAGCCGCACGCCCAAGTAGATGTGTTTTGCGAGTCTTTGTGCGGCTAAATCTTCTTCTTCTTCAACTCGCAGGACCAAGGCGGTTTCTGGGGAATGTACATGTGCGACTTGGTCATACTTTAGTCCCAAGCCGCATGCCCAAGTCGCACAACCAAGGAGAGGAGCTTGAACGAGATAAAACCTTGTAGATTCAGCCGCATGCCCATCCAGGAGTGAATTGCGAGTCTTTGTGCGGCTAAGTCTTCTCTGATCCTTAACTCGCACGACTATGTAGCAGGGATCTTCAGTAATGTGTGCGGGTTGGTCTCCATTACTCCCAGGTTGCAGGCTCAAGTCGGTGTAAATTGCGAGTGATCGTGTGGCTTAGTTCCAGGCGCGGCCAACTCGCATGCCTAAATCGCACGATTGTGGACTTAGCATTTTTCTTGCTCGGGAGCCTCAGGCCTCATCCAGTGATAGCTTACCCGCACTTCTCAACTTGCAGCATCAACTTCCAGGCATTCATCTTCAGGCCTGCGAGTTAACCAGGTCGCAAGACTATCTCGCAGCATTCAGAGCAGCTTGGACCACTTCGCATTCCGGGAAGCGTAACTTCCAGGATATTGGTCTGAATTGTGTGATTCCGGTTTCAGAGGATAGAAACTTTGGTGAAGGACGCTTCGGTGCTTCGGAAGTGGAAGGTTTCCTGGAGGGCTCATCTTCACAGTGTATTTACACGATCAGGGAAAGGCGTCTAGACATGTGTTCATTCCGGAGACCGTATCTTCTTGCTCATAGCTCCGAATTGAATGATCTCGGATGTTCTGGAAAGAGGACTCAAATATCGCTGATTCTCATGAAGGCCCTGTAAACTGAATCGGTCTGGAAGTGCACCGTCCTTCGCATTCTTCGGAGCTCATCGGCTCGGTCCAAAACGGCAGCGAGACAGGAGTTTCTTCTGACGAGCTTAACTTTCTGCTCACGCGTTCGAATTCCATGATTCCACTTGCTCTGGAACCGTGATCCAATCCTATATAACTTTGATGAAACATCCGACAGCTGAATCGGACCGGAAGGTTCCCTGGACAGGCGATTTCGGAAACGTGTCTGCACCGGGAGATTTTGGCCGAGAAATTTATTAGCCAGTACGCGTTTTGGCCGAGGAATCCAGCCGTGGTACGTGAGAATGGCCGAGAAAAACCTTCCTGGTCCGCGAGAATGGCCGAGAACCTCCTTTCAAGCTTTGATCACCATTTCTCTTCCTGGATTCACCTCTTCAACTCCAAATAACTCCAAATAACTCCAAATGCACCTGATAAACACTCAAAACATGCAAAGACTCATTGGGACCTAATGCATCTCCTAAGTCCTAAACAAACCCTAAGGACCTAAAATGCATGGAATAAGATATGCTTTGGAATGAAATATACAACCTAAATGATGCAAATTATGAACATATCAACTCCCCCACACTTGTCCTTTGCTTGTCCTCAAGCAAACAAGAACAAAAGAGAGAGAGAGGTTGAATGCATGGGAGTTCACATTTCCTTTTTGAGAGAAGTGATCACAATGAGAATTCAAGTTCATGCTCAATTATGCAATGCAAAGCCATACTCAGATATATATCAACTCAGCAAGGAATCTCCACAAGTTCTTCTCTCTCTCAACTCTTTCACATTCATTAAGCTTTTATCAGGTGAATCTCATGATGCAAGGTTTAAACAAGCTGGCTTGGCTAGGGAGAGGCTATGAGATTAAAATGATCTCATCAGTGTTCAAGCGGGTTTAATGCAGCAAAGGGATCTCTCTATGAATGATCAAACTTTGGCAGAGTGCTAAAGGTAAAAAGCAACCTATGCATACAAGGGCAAAGACTCATCACACCCCACCCTCTACTCAAAGCTTTCTCACTTGCTCACTCTCTCAATAACCTCACTTTTCACACTTATTTTCCTCTCACTTGGGGACTTACTTTTCACTTTCACTCTCAAGTCTTGGAGTTCAAACTTTACTCAGCTCTTTTTCTTTTGCAACCTCTAGCCTCTTTTTTTTCTTTCTTTTCAAAACATTTAAGCTCTTTGGCTTCTTTTCTTTTCTTTTTACTTAGAAGCTAGACTCTTTCTCTTCAACACACCAGAGCTCACTTTCTTTAACTCAAAACTCCAAGACTGATTTCTTTTTCTTTCATTCCCCTAGCTATTTCCACTCTCTCTATTCCACTCTTCTCACCTTTTTCCACTCACCAACAAGTCTTTTCCCCTACACTCATTCCTTGCCAATACTCTCAGTTCCTTGATGTTGGAACACATCACTCAATGAGACCTGCCCTTGTCGCTCTAAACCTAACACTTTCTGCTAAGTTTGATCCAAGGTAGCCTTTCAATTCACACACAAAAATTGGCTTGAAAGAAGGATGGGTTCAAGGTGAGGGAACTGATCCATGATGCGGATTCAGCTACTTGAGCTAAGGAAAAAGGGTGGTAAAAACAATGGTTCTAGCTCAAGTATGTATATCGGTATCCACAAGCTTTTTCAAACAATGCATCACAAGATATTTTCAAGTCAAGTTCAAGGTTCCCACTTAATTAGAGTTGAGTTCAATTCAAACTTGCTTCTCAGATTCAGATCATTTCAGACTTTGCAAGCACAGAAAAAGATTCACAAGCATATTCAGTTCAAGTTCTCAAAGTGATGTACTCTCTAGAAAACCTATCATTACTCCCTGAAAGATGCAACCTACATGAACATGCAATCTAGACTCAATCCTAAAAATGAGAATGCAACTACATGATCATTTTTTTGTGAAAATTTTTCAGATTTTTCCATTTTTTTTTTGGTTTTTTATATGCTTAGATGAGACTATATGAATGCATGCAAGAATGTGACTCAAGACTCAAAGTGAAAAATAAGAACAGAGAAAACATGATTAGTAAAAGATGAAACTCCTCCCCCACACTTAAATAACACAGTCCCTTGTGTTATAAAAGCATAAGAAAGGAGTGAAAACAAAACAAACAAGTAAAATGCAAAAAGAAAAAGAAAATCTACATGCATATTTACAAGGTTTAGAGTGTTACCTAAGAGCTGTGGAAGTCAGACCCCAATGAGTAAGAGGGGTTTGAAGTGTGACCGGATGGTGTCTCCCAAGAATGATGGCTTTCTTCATCAGAACCGTCGTCAAGATCCACCCAAGTTGTGCCATATGTGACCAGGGCTGTGCAGTTCATGGAACTCTCTCCAACTTTCTCTCTGTTCCTTGGTGAAACTCGTGCTGGAGACCCACCTTTGCAAGGGTTTTCAAGCTTCTTGATCCTCTTCTTCATCTCCTTGATGCACTTGGC